ATGAGGATATGAAAAGGGAGCAACTATAAATAATAAAGGATCAACTAGAAATGAAGAAAACATTGTCTGAAATAAAAAAACATTACACAAAGTCCTAAAAACAGACTGGAAGATCGCAAGAATCAAGACAAAGATTTAGAACACAAAGAGCCAGAGGACACTCCTCCACAGAAGCAAGAAAAGAGAATCCAGAAAGTTGAAGATAGTGTAAGAAACCTCTGGGACAATTTCAAGCGAACCAACATCAGAATTATGGGGGTCCCAGAAGAAGAGAGAGAGCAAGATACCGAAAGAATACTGGAAGAAATAGTGACAGAAAACTTCCCTCACCTGGGGAAAGAAATAGACTTGCAAGTCCAGGAAGCCCGCAGAACCCCAAACAAAAGGAATCCAAGGAGGACCACACCACGACACATCATAATTAAACTTCCAAGAGCAAAAGACAAAGAGAGAATCTTACAAGCAGCAAGAGAAAAACAGGTAGTTACCTATAAAGGAGCACCCATATGATTGTCAGCTGATTTCTCAACAGAAACCATGCAGGCCAGATGGGAATGGCAAGAAATATTCAAGGCAATGAATAGCAAGAACGTACAGCCAAAAATACTCTACCCAGCAAAGCTATCACTCAGAATCGAAGGCCAGATAAAGAGCTTCACAAATAAAAAAAAAAGCTAAAGAGTTCATCAACGCCAAACCAGAATTATATGAATTGCTGAAGGGGGTTATTTAGGAAGAAGATAAAGATAAAAATTATGAACAACAAATACGTAACTATCAACAAGTGAATCTAAAAACCAAGGGGATTAAAAAATCTGATGAACAATATTAACTGTTGAATATAATAGAATCAGAGGTATGGAAAGGGAGTGAACTGATGATTCTTGGGGAAAAGGGGAGGGGGGTGCGTGAAGAGACTGAACTTAAACTGTGCACCTATGGATGAGGACAAATGGGGGATGGGGAAAGGACAGAGGGTGGGGTGGGAACCTGGTGGAGGGGAGCAATTGAGAGGGGGGGGAAGAGGAACATTTGTAATAATCTGAACAATAAAGATTTATTAAAAGAAAAAAAGATGCTGCTGTGATGCTCTGTGCCACTGAAGATCACCATACACGGAAGATCTCAAACAAAATATGAAACAAATATGGCAAGCACCACATGAAACAGAAGCTGGATCATCTGCTTATTCTTCTGCTAACAGTGTTCAACAGGACTTGTCTGCTGGTGACAGGGGCAAGCTGTGAAGAATGTTGCTTACATCTTATTCCAAGTAAAATTTAAGAAACTAGAAGCTTGTGTCAAGATCTAGTGAGGCACCTATGTCTATCTCATAACAAATATGCAGGTTATTATTAGAAAATACTGCAGATAGAGCCAAAACCAGTTTCGCTCAATGGATAGAGTGTCGGCTTGGGGACTGAAGGGTCCCGGGTTCAATTCTGGTCAAGGGCATGTACCTTGGTTGCGAGTATATCCCCATTCGGGGGTGTGCAAGAGGCAGCTGATCGATGACTCTCTCTCATTGATGTTTCTAACTCTCTATCTCTCTCCCTTCCTCTCTGTACAAAATCAATAAAATATATTAAAAAAAAAGAAAGAAAATACTGCAGATAGAGCAGGTCAGAACAATGGATGATGGGAAAAGGGTAAAAAGTTGAAGGTAGCCAGAAACCAGGAAGTCACACACTAAAAGATAAATCAGAGAAATGTCAAGCATTGCAAGGAAAATGGATCAATCAGCTGTTGCCATTGGCACATCAACCTAAATTCTGTTAGATAAGAGCAGGTTTCTGGTATGATCTAAACACCACTTTTATGTCATATTTCCCATGAGTTGCAATTAAAGAGGCACCCTTTTAAATCATCCTGCATGTTCATACTGTGAAAACACCTATCCTTGTACCTTCTCTTGAACAAGCTCATGAAACACAGATATTCTGAGTTTTATTTAAAGACAATAGAGGTGAATAGGCAGCACCTGCCCAGAGCAACACAGCATTCAATAGTATTCAGGGAACATAACATTACAAAAAATGCAAAGAGGTCTTTCAAGAACCACCCCTCGTTCATGCAAGTAAAGACCATAACCTGGCATAGTCAGTCACAAAGAGCCTTTTACTGAACGAAGGTCATACACACCTCCCAAAAAGTCAAAGTACAAGCCTGGTCCCATTAAGCTGTTTGGAACAATCCTGACTCCCAGACACTTCCTGTACTATTTGACGCTATGGGTGTGAGGGATTTTCATGGAGTCCTTTGCTCAGGTTTTTCCAAATGACTCAGCACTCTTGGCCACAGCACATTTGACAGGATAATGGGATAAAATAGAAGAGCCGATGGTCTAGGAATGGGAGAGAGAAAGCTTACATTTAGAGAATAAAGAAAGAGAGGACATCACCTCAGGACACTAAAAGAACTGTGAAGGTCTTACCTACAGATGATACAAGTGAAAAAACTTCCAGCATCATCTTGCGGTACAGAAATCTCTGAGCCTCATCAAGAAGCTCCCACTCCTCCTGAGAGAAGGTGATGGCCACGTCCTCAAAGTTCATACCTGTCACAATGAAGACAGTTCAGTCCATGATCAGTTTCTCTGTTAGGATTTAATGTTCTTCCTCCCCAACATCCATATGCTCCCTCAACTCCCCACATAAGAAAATGACCCAAGGACTTGGTGCCATCAAAGTCCCTCTCTCCTTATATTCCTGCTGATACTGTGTCTTCCCACAACAATAAGGGTAGATGATCCTATACAGGATAACTTCACACTGAGACTCACATGCAAGCTACACTTCCCCTTTTCAATACAGTGGGTGTCATGAACACAGGGTAGGGAGAGATGGTGTCCATAATGAGAGTGTGAGGATTTGACAGGATGCTTATCAGGCAATGACCTATTATCCGCTGAATTCCTATTTTAAGACCCCAATAATTATGGCATCTCACTTCAATCATTTGAACCCAATCTCAGGGTGCTGAAGCCATTATTTTGCACTGCCTCTTGGTCATAATTCATTGAACCACACTTCTCTCACACAGCTTCATTCCCAGAGGCACAAAGTCAAATGTAACACAAGGATGCCATGATGAGCACAGTTTATTTCCTAATCATCTTCTTTTCCAAAATTTTAATCCACCACCTCTTTAATATATTTCTCTTACCATTCTGCCTTCCAAAGCCAGTGCAGTTTTTCAAGCCCAAAGGATGGTGATGTATGCTATCTCATTCCTATTGATCACTGTAACAGCCCTCAACAACAAGAGGCTGGTGAGCACACGTATTTCACCTAAGCTTTCAACTAGATACCCTGAGCCCTCTCCAGGGTATCTAGTTACTCATTCACAAAGGACACTTAGGGGCCTATGAATGTTTTCCTCATAGCCTCAATAAAAGGGATAGCAGGGCCAGAAGAGTGAGTAGTTCTTCCATTAGAGGTGGGCTTACATCTGGCCCCCCATATGGCCAAATTAAATTTCTTCTAGTCTCTTTTGTTTGTGTGCAGCCCTTCTCCAGAACTCAAACCATGAACCAAAACCCTGAACCACGTGGGATGTGAAAGGGGGTTCCCACATGTATATGTGTACATTATTAAAATTTTTCACTGATTTTATAGAGTGGAAGGGAGAAGGAGAGCTAAAAACATCAATGATGTGAGAGAATCATTGATTAGCTGCCTCCTGCATGACTCCACCCCCACACTGGAAATTGAGCCTGCAACCCATGTTGTGCCCTGACCAGGAAAAGAACCATGACTTCCTGGTTCAGAGGTCAATGCACAACCAGCTGGATTTCATTATTTAAAAAAAATATACGTGTATTTTACATTGTTGATCCTATCACTAATGTCTCCAATTTCCCCCTGTGTGTATATCCTTAGTGGATCTCTTGCAGTCCTACTACCCTCTGCCCCTAGGAGATCTGTTTGTCTTTTGCAGTTAGCCAAGCCTATGGACACATCTTGTCCTTCCCCAGCCATCACTCACTTTGCCACAACACTTTTTATTTACCTAACTCATTGGTTGGGATGCTAACTCTACTCCACTATTGGGTAGAAAACTACATTACCCAGAAGGCACTGCACAAGTATGGGTGGAGCCAAAGGGAATTATGACGTCCGCACATCCTATTAGGGCGGGAATTCCACCTTCCTCCATTCGGTGGACAATTTAATCTCTTAGGTCTTTGTTCAGAGATTCACAGGCTTCAGGGCACAGGTGGTGAATAGGAGGCGGCCTGGGAGGCCGCTGCCTTCGGGTCGGGGCGTGTCTGAGGCGCCGGGAGCCCCCACAGCCCGAGGAGATCGGCGTCTCCGCCCCTCCCGGCTCCTCTCCGCTCCCAGCGTCCCTGCAGCCTGACCCCCCCGGAGCCCTCCCGCCTGGGGAGCGGCCTCCCCGGTCCCGCCGCCCCGGGCCCCGCGCTCAGGATGGTGAGTCCCTCCTGGTGACACATGGGTGATGGGGGAGAGGATGGAGGGCGGCAGTGCCACCTTGTAAGGAGGCGATGGTGACACTGAGCAGGGAGGATTCTGGAAACCCAGGCCTGTTTTGGGTGTAAAGGAAACAAAGAGCTGAGCTGTGGTATTTGCACGAGGAGTTTTACTTTCACTCTCAGAACACTGGAGCCATAGATGGTTGTGGGGAAAAAAAAAAAAAAAAAAAAAAAAAAAAAAAAAAAAGAGGGACATTTTCAGAGGCAGAATTCTAACTTTTCCTGACATTGCTCAGAGGAAAAACAGACTAGAAGACAGAGGACAGCAGCTGTGGACAGGAAGGAGAAGTCCTGTAAATGATGCACAGGTGTCAAACACAAGGCCCGCGGGCCAAATCCGTCCCGCCAGGCCTTGCAATGTGGCCCGCACCGCGCTGTCATCACTGCACTCCGCTGTGTTTCCATCACAATGACAGTTTATGACTGTTCAGTAAACCATTTGGCCCGCGAATTAGGCTGGATTTTAGATTTTGGCCCCTTCTCTGATTGAGTTCGACACCCCTAAAGGGAACTGGAAGAGTGAGCACTGAGGACTTGAGCCCTGAGATCACACAGGCATCTGGAGGGCACCTGGCCTCAGGGCTGGGCAAGGGCACTGAGCAGCCTGAGCCCATAGAGCCTGGTGGTTGTCAGGCTCTTAACAGACCATTTTTCTTTCCACAAATTCCTGAAAATGCAGAATTGATTAGGTGTATAGGTTTGTGGAACTTATTTCAGAACCTCACACACTTGTGGACCCTGAGATAGTAGAGTTCTGGGACTATCGCTGCTCTTGTATCCCTTGGACCTGAGGACTTTGAACAGACACTAAGCCCAGAATCCTAAGGCCAGAAGTAGGGCTTCATGATGTGGACCTTGTTTCTGGCAACCAGTGTAGTGAGTGTGAGGTCCTCCAGACATAGGTTCCAGAATGTGCAAAGGCTTGGAGTAAAGAGTGAGCTGAATCAGGAACCTGCAGGTATGTTTTTAAAATACATATATATATAGATATAGATATAGATATAGATATAGATATAGATATAGATATAGATAGATATATTTTGCTAAAACTGGTTTGGATCAGTGGATAGAGTGCCCGCCTGTGGAATGAAAGGTCCCAGGTTCGATTCCGGTTAAGGGTATTGTCGTGGCCAGCAAGACCGGTCGAGGCAGGGCTCCAGATAGCTAGCAAGACCCTGTCGAAGCAGGACTCCAGGCCAGGGAAGGAACGAGCAACCAGACCCACAACAAAGAATGTAGCATGCTACGCTTTAGCTAAGCATAACTGTTAGTCATAAAATAGTTCTGTTGCAAGGCTCAACTCCCAGGCAGACATGTCTTGTTTCCAGTAGCCGCAAAGCAGAACAAACAGACCAAACCAGGTCAAACAGAGACTGCTTAAGCTGAAAATAAACCCCCACCCCAGGTGTTGTATAAACTTTAAATGTTACTGTACTAGTGGAATTTTTCTATAACTTATAACTGACCTTTCTTTGTTAAAACTTTGGCCAATCATAATCTGCCAGGCATCCCTAAGATGGGGATAAAAGTAGCATGCTTAGAGTGGGTCGGGGCTCTCGTTGCTCACTGCTGTGTCAGTTGAGACGTGAGCCCGGACTCGAGTTCGTAATAAAGGCTTCCTAAATTCCAATTGGGCTGACTGGTGGTCGTCATTTGCGGGTCGCCCACAACATCATGTACCTTGGTTGTGGGCACATCCCCAGTAGGGGGTGTGCAAGAGGCAGCTGATAGATGTTTCTCTCCCATTGATGTTTGTAACTCTCTATCCCTCTTTCTTCCTCTCTGTAAGAAATCAATAAAATATATTTTAAAAAATAATAAAAAATATATACATATTTTTATTGATTTTAGATATAGAAAGGATGGGGAGGGCAGTGAGAGAAACAGAGCAACAGGGATGAGCAAATATCTACTGTGGATCCAGCCCAAAACCCTGGCATCTGACCTCACACCAGTGCATGGGTCTGTGCTCAACAAAATGAGATACATCATCCAGGACAGTATATCACTTTAATACAGGGAATCATGGTCAAGTTGGTAATGGGAGTAGTAGTTAAGAGGGACAGTGTGAGCCTGAGGACTGGCTTTCTTCCTAGGGCCACTGTTTGTCAGAAGTGGGTGTCACAACACAGCACAGGGACAGAAATTGTCATCTAGAGTGTGGGGAAAAGATAATTGTTTAGCAGGCCAAAGCCTTTAAAAGATGAGTGAACTTGAGATTAGTGGAGGTCAAAGAGTAATTTAAACAAGATGATACTGAGGCTGGTACATATCAACTTCTCTAAACTCTCACCAGGATTTTCTTGTGACTCTTGGTGTGGCCTGGCTGTGGGGTGCTGTAGTCAGTGTTGTGGATTAGCTAGGAGGCTTGAGTGGTCATCTGTGAGACTCACTGGGCATGGTGCAGGGGGCCATCAGGGCTGGGACTTGAGTGAAGGTTAAGTGAGTGTTTTTGGCTGTGACTAGTGAAGGGACATCAAGTGAAGCATAAGAGGACGTCGGGTATAGATATCTGAGATCTGATTGTTCTTAATAATTGGGGTTGAAGGGGAAAAAAAATCATGGAGAGTGGCTTACGTAGCAGGACTCAAAGCTGTGTCTATGAGTGTGGCCTATCAGAGTCTGTGTAGTGCTTGATCCTGATTCAATATTGCAACCATCCTCTGGACCACACATGCTGAGTAATAAGTAAAAGGCCAGGAAATGTGGTGGGGGGCTGGGTCTGGGGCTGTGGAAGTGCAAGTTTGAGAGAGGTGTGGTAGAAAGAGTGATGTGCACTCAGAGAGGGAATGTGAATTCATGGCCACAGCACCATGACATTGACATAAGAGTGACTTAAGAAAGAGTCTATTTCTGGTGGTTCCTGGATGTAACAATAAGGTGAACTTTAGGGTAATTGCCTGTAAAGAGAGGTGCTTGGGTGCTAAATTCTAGGTTAAGAGCTTAGGTGTCATTTAACTAACCACCTGCCTTTTGTTGTTGGTTTGACGCACTGGTTTGAAAGGAATAAGATAGCATTCATCAGTGTTACCCAGTCTTGCAAATCTCCACTGGCATGGGTAAGGAAGAAGGGTAAGAGAGAACAATATTTTGGAGGTGGTGAAGTATAATTTTGGAAAAGAAGGTGATTAGGAAATAATTTATCCACAACACAGCATATTTGCATTTCCTTTGAAGTTGTGCCTCTGGGAATGAAGCTGTGTGAGAGAAGTGTTGTTCAAAGAACTATGTGCAGCAGGTAGTTCAAAGCAATGGCCTCACCACATTGGGATTGGGGTCAAAAGGGTGACGTGTGATGCCATGTTTTTGGTGTCTTAGAGGAACAATCTGAGGGACTACAATGCTATCTTCTGAGAAAACAGTATCAAATCACTCACACTGTCTTTATGGCCAATATCCCTCACTAATCTATGCTTTTGACACCCAATCTATTGAGGCAGTGTGGTGTACATGGGAGGTCCAGAGCTCAGGTTTCTCCTATCTACTCAACTGCCTTAATTGTTGTTGGAAGAAAAATATCAGCAGGAATATAAGAAGACAGTGGCTTTCATGGGATGAAGGCCTGGCATTTTCTCAGATGTGAAGAGTGGAAAGAGCAGATGGGATTGGAGGGTGGTTAGTAGGATAGCCTTATAATATTGGGAGTGACTCTCATCCTGAGCTGTACTGTCCCCATTATGACAGGATGTGAACTTTGAGGATGTGGCCATTACCTTCTCTCAGGAGGAATGGGGGCTCCTTGATGAGGCTCAGAGACTTTTGTACTGCAATGTCATGCTGGAAGTGTTTGCACTTGTATCATCTGTAGGTAAGACCTTCATGTTGTCCAGTGTCCTGAGGTGATGATTTCTCTTCTTTATTCCTCAGGCATAGCTTTCTCTCTTCCACAGCCAGAACATTGCCTCTGCTAATTTCCCCCACTGTCCTCTGTCAAATGTGCTGTGACTGCCAGCCTGAACAAAGGACTCCACGATCATCCATAACACCTGTTATCTCAAAATGTACATTAAGTGTTAGGGAGTCAGGCATCTTGCAGTGAGCTTAGTGGGTCCCAGTTTGCACTTTCTCTTCATGGGAAGCTGACAGTGTCCACATGCATGGCTTCAACTTCTGCACTCTTTCTCTAGGTAAGGGTTATTTGTGGCAGCTTCTGCCATGTTATGGTTTTTACCAACATGAACCATGGGCTGTTCTTTTAAGGCCCCCATTCAAATGTAATATTTTCTTCCCTGAATACTATAGCAAGGTGTGTGGCTCAGGCCCAGTGCTGACTGCTCACTACTTCCTCTCCTGTTCCTCTGCACTGGTGCCTCTGCAGTATTCTACAACATTGACTTGCACATGTGTTATGAGTTGTACTTACATATGTGCTAAGTAGTTTTCAAAACCCGCTATTCCTTTATTGAGTTTTACTTGAAGTAAGATGGGATCGACCGCTTCCCCAGCTCTCCCAGTCCCCAGCAGATAAGCCATGGTGAATGCTGTTAGGTAAAGGATGAGTTGGAGATCCATATTCTAATCCATGTGGTTCTTCCCCTATTTGTGTCATACTTCTGTTGAGGCCTCCCTATTTTGGGATCTTCATTATCTCAAAAAAGTCACAAGAGCCCCCTATTCATCTTTCCTGATCATCTCTTATTTTCAAACAATTTCATGGAACCAACGTGTGATATGTAACACACTTTTGCAATGAGACTTCCCCTTGTCACACAATTAACATTCATTTTCTCACCATTTCTCACTTTTCAGGTTGTTGGCATAAAATGGATGATGAGGAGGCCTGTTCTGATCATAGTGTATCTATACAAGGAGAGTCACAGGACAGGGCTTCTAAGACAGCTCAAGCCACCCAGAGGACCCTTCTGTGTAAGCAGTGTTTCTCTATGTTACAACATATTTTGCACCTAACTGGTTCACATTCAACATACTTTGAGCAGAAAGCCTTCTGTAGTGATGCATGTGTTGGAGACATATGTTTCAGTGCATACCCTCACCAGCAGCAGAGGAATGAATGTGGAGAGGAAGCCTGGAAACAAGCTATGGACAGGGCATCCTGTGAGCAGGTAAAGCTTCTACTTATCTATGGTGCCTTCAACTAGCTGGCAAGTTGGAGAAGCTTTGTGATACAACTCATAGCTTCCCCAGCACCAGGCCAGTCTCAACACCGAGGAGCTACACTATGACAGTGAGGTTTCATAGGAATTTCTTGATTGGAAAAGTCATAACCGGTGGGGTGACTGTGAAAATGCTGCCAGCCACATCCTGATTGTTGTTCAATGTCAAGATGAATTTTCTGGAGCAATGATTTATGTGTCAGAAATGTAGGAAAGTATTTAGACGATTCTTTAACCTCATTGGACATAAGATACCGTATTTTCCTGTGTATAAGACGACCTTTGCAACGAAAAAAAATCAACCGAAAATCGGGGGCAAAAGACCAAAATTGCACAAAAATTACCTGCAGATCTTGACAGCAAAGTAAGTCTTTTTTTTGAAGTGGGGGATAGTCTTATACAGCAAATATAGGCCTAAACCTATGTTTTAACTGTAAAATTAGGGGTCGTCTTATACGCCAGAAAATACGGTAGTTCATCCTAGTGAAGAGATGTATGAGTGTAGTGAATGTGGGGTTTCCTTTCATCTAAGAGCCCAGCTCAATGTATACCTCAGAGTTCACACTGGAGAGAAGCCATATGAGTGTAGTGAATGTGGCAAGTGTTTCAGTAAAAGAGGTGCACTCATTAAACACCAGAGAGTCCACACTGGAGAGAAGCCATATGAGTGTAGTGAATGTGGGAAGTTCTTCAGTGAAAAAACTACATTAATTAAACACCAGAGAATTCACACTGGAGAGAAGTCATATGAATGTACTGAATGTGGAAGTCCTTTAGTCAAAAAATGAAGCTTTTCTAAGCATTTGAATCTTCACAGTGGAGAGAAGCCATACAAATGTAGTGAATGTGGGGTTTCCTTCAGTCAAAGAGCTCACCTCACTGAACACCATTCAACATTCACACTGGAGAGAAGCCACATGAGTGTACTGAATGTGGGAAGTCCTTCAGTGCAAGAAGCACACTCATTAATCACCAAAGAGTTCACACTGGAGAGAAACCATATGAGTGTAGTGAATGTGGAAAGTCTTTTAGCCAAAAATCTAACCTTAGTATACATTGGAAAGTCCACACTGGAGAGAAGCCATATGAGTGTACTGAATGTGGGAAGTCCTTCAGTGCAAGTAATATACCCATTAATCACCACAGAGTTCACACTGGAGAGAAGCCTTATGAGTGCACTGAATGTGGGAAGTCTTTTAGCCAAAAGTCTAGTCCTATTAAACACCTGAGAGTTCACACTGGAGAAAAGTGTTAAATGTACAGGGAATGTTTTCATTTTATTCAGTTAGAATAACAACATTGAAGGTAACTGTGACCTTTTTTTTTATTTTATTATTTAAACCTTTTTAATGGAACATAAACTGTACTATATTCCTCATGTGTTTCCAGTACAAGTAAGGATTTAAGGACATGCCCAGAACTATTACCTGATACATTTATAGCTGAAGAGACTTTTTTATTGAATTATGCTTTTATGAATTGTTTTACTTTCTAATTCACCAACCTGCAAATTGCTTACTGTACTCTGTTCTGGTTTATGATTTTTTAGTAAAGATATTTTTCTTTAGTGCCTTAATTTTTTTATTTCATTTTCTATTTTCACTTCTAGGGATGATTGTCAAGCACCATTATGATCTATCATCATAGAGTTAACAGATAATGTTTGAATCCCAACCTTTCTGTGCTTTAGGAGCAACAGCATAATACCAGAAAATTACTCTTTGACCAATATTGTCTTATTCTGCATTGCTGCTGATGGCCTTAAATGAAAGACTGCTTGACTTTGTGGTTCCAATTTGCATGTTTGATCCCAGCACATATGGGGATGTAGGAGGCATCTGATTTTTTTCTCTCTCATATTGATGTCTCTCTCAATATCTCTCTTCTCCCCCTTCCCTTGCTCTCTCTCTCTCTCAAAATATCTTCAGATGAGGATTACCAAAAAATCCAAACATTCACTCTGGTGCCCTGAGATGAGGCCTCTGCTTGCACAGCTCACCTTTCCTCACTCTTTCCTGCCTTTGCCTGGGACAGTCCCACTGTAGCTGGGCACACTGTGTCCTTCCCAGGGTTTGGAAGAGAGGCGGCCCAGTCAAAGCACAGCCCGGGGGGGAATTTGGGATTCTGTGTCTGCCTGAGATGTGCTGGCCAGGGCTCTTCTATCTCCATCCACACTGCTTCTCCCCACCCCCTAGGCACCTTCCTGCTGCAAATGAACCCACTTATGTATCTGGGAGAATCCTCCTGATGCGTTGGACCCCCAAATCAGTTCATTTTAGAACACATGTGTCAAACACAAGGCCCGCGGGCCAAATCCGTCCCGCCAGGCCTTGCAATGTGGCCCGCACCGCACTGTCATAACTGCACTCCGCTGCGTTTCCATCACAATGACAGTTTATGACTGTTCAGTAAACCATTCGGCCCGCGATTTAGGCTGGATTTTAGATTTTGGCCCCTTCTCTGATTGAGTTCGACACCCCTATTTTAGAAAGTTCTGCCTCCAACAACCCACTCACACCACTGAGACCCACTAGTGTTTAAGTCTCTTTTTTCCACTTAGGGATTAATTTGCATTCTAATTTCATAAAAAGTAAAGCACTCCTCTTCCCACCCCCTTACCCGGACAGTCCTGGATGTAGCATGGATGCTACAGGAAATGGTGCTATATATTTTCAGTGGTAAGAACAAGTTGCAATACAAACATCTCCAGGAGAGGCTTGGTCTTAATAAAATTCTCCGTTCTGAGGATGAGATGTGGTTGGTGTGTCCCTTCCCTAAGTTTTTCCTTTGCATAGAAGACCCAAAATGAGGTTATAGTTCCTGGATTGTGGGGAATAGTGTGCTGCTAGGGTGTGTGGTTGAGGGGGCACAGGGTTTCAGTGCCTGTGAACGTGCTTCTGCCACCTCTTGGGCCAGGTTCCTTGAATGGGTGGGCTGAGCAAAGGCTTTAGGGATGAGAACTTGAATCAGGTTGGATGGAGGGTCAGCAGCCATGGGTGAGCATAAGGGACACATATAAAGACTGAAGCTGTGGATACTGTTGACCCCAACTTTTTCAAATGCTGTAAATGCAGAGTCCTCTGTCCTTGGGAACTGGCATCTAGTGGATAACAGTCCACAAAGAATGCACTAGGATATCTGTTGACTGGTAACAGCAGTATGGGGGAAGGTAAAACTAGAGTTGGTCAGTGGGGACTTCACTGAAGAGTTCTGTGAAGGGCTGGCAGGCTCCAGGTGGTATCCTGCAGGGAGCATGCCCTCTGCATTTGCAAGCTGTATGGAAGTCACTCTGGCTGCTTTTAACAGCAAGGATCAGAAAGAGGTAAAAATAAATAAATGGTGGCCGATTAGGCAGTAGTATTGTGCATCTCATCCTGAGCCCGATTGAAAATACAACTAAATCAAAGAACATCCACTTGGTATTAACAAATTAGATTCAGCTGAGCAGATACTCTTTACAACAAGGAAGGGCAGAGAAGAATGGCAAGAACTGGGAAGTGGATTTTCGAGGGACAGCAAGCCAGTGGGTCAAGAGGGTGAGGAGAAAGCAGTGTTGCACCAAAGCTGTGTCCCTTCACGAGGTGGGTAACATCCAAATGCATAATGGAAAAGCCACAGGGCAGCTGGCTGCTGGGGAAACCGGACCAAAGGCAAAAGCCCCGAAAGGCTGCCCCCTGAAAGGAGGGCCAAACAG